CTTGTCCGGTTGTTACTTTTAGGATCGCGTTCATTTCCGGTCTCAATACTTTCGTTTTTAATGTGTCCGTCATCCTGATGATCTCGTAAGTTGCTATGGGTCCGGTGCAGCGTGGGGGGGTATTCCGCAAGGTGGAGGGGTCGTCTCTTATTCGTTGTCATGCCCAGCTGTCTTGCGCGTGTCCTACTCCGAGTACTCAGTCCAGGGGGTGTGTGTACAGCAATCAAGCCGCGCCCCTCCTGGTTGCAGCGCTCTTCCTCAATTCTCCCCTTTTTTACGTTGTTAAAAGCGTTCGCATGTGTTCCATGGGAGTCCTCAGGATCGTCGGGTAGGGGGTGTGACGGCTCGATCTCCCGCACCCTGCCGCTCTCCGATCTTCCCTCCTCCTCTATAACGGTGTGCGAGAGTTCATCGTCAACCACCTCCCGTGGTTTGTCCTCATTGGAGCTGATCGTTCCGGCTGTACGAGGGGGTCTACCCGGCCAAACTTATTAACCAGTTCAGGAAATCACCTGGACTCCGGAGTAACCCCGTATCTCAAGAATCCATGCCTCAAGCCACCACACGCATTGCCCTCCCCTACATCCATAATGTATCAGAAGCCACAGCTAGGATCCTGGCACCATATAAAATACAGGTGGCCCATAGACCCAACCAAACACTGCGGGCGGCAATAATGCGCCCTAAGGACCCGCTCCCCAGCATCGAAAGATCGGCAGCCGTCTATAGGATTGACTGCATGGACTGCCAATGCAATTATATTGGGGAGACTGCTAAACGCATTAAGACCAGGGTCCATGAGCACGAATTGGCAGTGAGAAGGAGAGACTGTCACTCCCAAATATGGGCCCACACGGTGGATCTGGGCCATAAGTTTAACTTTAGTGGCGTCAGTGTATTGGCAAATGATAGTACTAAAGGGGGCCGCCTTCTTAGAGAGGCATAGCTCTCGGACAGTAAGTCCATTAACAGGCATATTGACCTATGTCCGTCCTATTTGGCCTTAAGATCATGGAGTGCCAATAATCAGCGGCAACACCCCCGATGGCCCAATAACAACTTGGGCAGCACCCGAACTACCCAACAAATCATGTGCAATTCAGAGGAAGAAAAGCAATCGCGAGATACCTCGACCACCCCCGTGAGACTGCTGCAATCCCAGAGGATTAGGGGGGTGATAAGAACCAAGGTCCGGATCCCTGACAGTAAAGAAGAGACGAGGGAAGATACGGCAGGTGGAAGTGCGGGCGAACCGCCAAACGTAACGGCCTGCCTACACATCAAAAGAAACCTCACGGCTGGTCCGGAAAGGAGGAGAAGACCCCCTCATGCAGCCGGAACGATCAGCTCCAATGAGGACAAACCACAGGAGGTGGTTGATGATGAACTCTCGCACACCGTTATAGAGGAGGAGGGAAGATCGGAGAGCGGCAGGTTACGGAAGATCGAGCCGTCACACCCCCTACCTGATGGTCCTGAGGACTCCCATGGAATACAAGCGAATGCTCTTAATAATGTAAAAAAGGGGAGAACTGAGGAAGAGCGCTGTAACCAGGAGGGACGCGGCTTGATTGCTGCGCACACACCCCCTGGACCGGGCACCTGGAGTAGGACACGCGCAGGACAGCTGGGCATGACAACTAATAAGAGACGATCCCTCCACCTTGCGGAACACCCCCCCACGCTGCACCGGACCCGTAGCAACTTACGAGATCAACAGGATGACGGACACATTAAAAGTGAAAGTATTGAGACCGGAAATGAATACGATCCTAAAAGTAACAACTGGACAAGATATGGTGGAAAAAAGAATGTGGAATGTGCACTACCACCTGAGCCTAAGGGGAGGTTAGAATATAAAGGCAACCGGAATAACTGCAATTGCCATCTAGCTAATCCAGAGTTGGGAGAATTGGAGACGGATGAGGATAAAAACGCAACCAAAAAGAGAAAAGAAGCACAGGTTAATTGCACACGGCTGAACCAATTAGGCCCGATAACAAGATCGAGGAGCCGGGCGCAGACCTCGACACGCATATAAAAGACCTTCTCATTCTCTGGCGCGCCAGCCCTGAGGATGCCGGCAGGTGACGGCGAAAGCTTGGCGCTTTTTAAAACTTTTATAGTTTTAATTTATTAAAAACTTTTACAGTTTTTATTACCCTGGTGTTCAGTTTATATTTTCACCATATGTATGTATATATATATATATAATGCTGTATGTTACACCCTGTTGCCCAAATATGGGAGAGAGAAATCTTTTGTCTTGTATATATATATATATATATATATATATATATATATATATATATATATATATATATTTTTAGGTTTTTGCTAACAAAGAATAAAGAGAGAATGGTATAGCTATTTCGAGTTCCTTTAACTCTCATCAGCCAAACTTACTCTTCTGGGATTCGAACCTGGGCTATCTGCATGTTAGGCAGATGTTATAACCTCTAAGCCACGGGTTCTCTCCCACTCTGTTAGCTATCAGGAGAGAGACAGGGGGAGGAGATTATTACCCTGAATGAACACCCTGTCAGCCCAAATATGGGAGAAAGAAATCTTCTTTCTTTTTCTTTTCTTTTGCCTGTATCAGCTCAATCTAGAGCCATCCACAAGCAGCAGTCACTAACTGTGACATCATTTTACATTTTTAGGTTTTTGCTAACAAAGAATAAAGAGAGAATGGTATAGCTATTTCGAGTTCCTTTAACTCTCATCAGCCAAACTTACTCTTCTGGGATTCGAACCTTGGCTATCTGCATGTTAGGCAGATGTTATAACCTCTAAGCCACGGGTTCTCTCCCACTCTGTTAGCTATCAGGAGAGAGACAGGGGGAGGAGATTATTACCTTGAATGAACACCCTGTCAGCCCAAATAGGTGACTGCTGCTTGTGGATGGCTCTAGATTGAGCTGATACAGGCAAAAGAAAAGAAAAAGAAAGAAGATTTCTTTCTCCCATATTTGGGCTGACAGGGTGTTCATTCAAGGTAATATATATATATATATATATTGTACAAACCTGCTAAGGTTGCCTGCCTCTTTTGGATATGAGTTCTTCATCAAGAACTGCATATTTATCCCCCAGTTCAGGTTTTAGGTCTTACGACATTTGTTTATGACAGCCATTATTTTCACAATGTCAAAACAGCTGAAAGGTGAGCTTTTGTGCAGGGCATTTGGAGACTGAGGTCAGGTATTGTTTGGGGAGTCTGAAATATTTTATTTTGTAAATAGTTTTGATTATGGCTTTGTTTGTGAGTTACCAAAATTTTATTTATGAATGTGATGGGATATAAATTGGATAACTAAATGAATAAAATGGTTATTACAATTTGGTATAAGTGCAATATTATTACATTGTCTGAAAAAATCAAGCTAGGATATGATAAGTGTGAATTTATCATTCGCATTAATTGTGAATTCTCTTGCTGTTTAGTCTATGTAAACTCAGTTTACTGCCTTCCAGTCCTGATGACTTATAAGCCGCTGAATTCCCAGGCACTGTCAACAGCAGCTAGGAATTGTTGGAGCTGTGAGCAATCAGTTCTACTCTAAAGAATTGTCTATGGCAGTGATGGCGAACCTTTTAGAGACCAATGCCAAAAAACCGCCCCGCCACCTGTCCACTCTGCCCACCCCCACCCACCTGCAGGGCCATCCATTGCCTCCACAGACCACTGCAGCACATCACCAGGTGGCCCTGCAGTGCCATGGCAGCCACGCCCTCTGCCCACACCCCACAGCATCATCTGCGTGCGATGGGGTGCAAGGGTGGAGTCTTGTTCCTGCTGCCCGGCTGCCATGTCCTTGGCTGTGCTGTTCTGCACGGGCTGTGCCTGAGGGCGAGTCTCCTCCGGGGGGCCTGCTGGTGAGGGGGCCATGAGAGGAGGCGGGGCGAGGGCACGCGTGCCCACAAAGAGGGCTCTGAGTGCTGCCTCTGGCACACGTGCCATAGGTTCGCCAACACTGGTCTATGGTTTTGTTCTCTTTTCAATAAATTTTATACACTTTTGTCCTTCACAGTTGAAGTCACTGACTCCAACCATGCTGATATATTAACTAAACCATGCTTAACCATGAAAAGTGGGGAAGGGGGAGACCTGTGTTGCTGTATAAAATAATTTGAATTTGTTCCAACAATGTAATAAAGAGAAGGCCCTTCATCCAAGGGAACTTCTGCAAACCAAAGGCTTGACTTTTTGAAACAAAACTTGACCTGAGTAGGCAGTGTGGGCAATCTGGGTAGTGGGTAATTATGGGTAGTGGAAATTGAGTGATGCTATCCTATATATTATTGCAGGTTTTAAAAACTGCAGTGGAGAAATCAGACATGATGTAGACCCAGTTTTGATTCTACTTTTGAACGAATGTTATATTTTGACAGCTATTTAAGAAAAAAAAAGTCTGGAAACAATCTTAGAACAAATACTGATCTATATTCTGGGGAAGGCTGGCAGGGGAATTCTGGGAGTTGAAGTCCACATCTCTTAAAGCTACCAAGTTTGAAAAACACTACCTAGAGTGGCTTCAAATTTATTATTCTGTATTGTTTGAGTTAATGCAGCAGCTCTAAAATAGATTATTTTTTTTGAGCTCCCATCTGAATGGGGATGGAATTGGTCTTTTATCTTCCTGTACATTGCCTTCTTCAAATTTCAAGAGGATGCTAGTAAATTTGGCAATGTGAAAAAATTGCACCTAGCCCTAAAAATGATCACAAAGCATTTTCCGACGTAATACAAAATGTCATAAAGCATATCCTGTAGTCAACTGCCAATGCTTGACTGTGCTATGCAGTTCAAGGCCGATGCATCTCTGAATATCTCCCTGGATTTTAAAGATTTTTTTTTCAGTGAAGTTCATTATAGAAGCTCTGTCTTCATTGAAAGCATTGAGGAATCTGGTAAGGAAATATGTCTGAAACAATGACCCGAGAGATCAGGAGGTTGTCAAGCACTACTATAAAAAAAAACTATCTTTACCTTACAGGTAAAATGGCGGCAGCAGATCCTTACATGAAAATGAAAATTGATCCTCAGAATCTACAGATTCAGACGCATACCGTGGAGAAGTTGCTGGAACCCCTCATAATTCAGGTAGGCCACATCAAGAGGAAAGTGGGTTGTGATGTGAGACATGAAACACAACATTTTTCATTGTGTGGTTCATGTGGTAGCTGGCACAATTTAGAAAACATATTTTGGTTAAAAGAATCTTTAGGCATGTACCCGTTCCCACTGATGATATGTGAACTCATGCTTGACAATAATGTCAGTCAGTCAGTTTATTACAGTTTTAGACCGGTACAAGCAATGTGTCCAGGAGTGCTTTGTGAATACTTATAAATCTATCTTAAGAGACAGTAAAACAAAAACAAAATTAAACTACATCTATAAAACAACCTGACTATAATCCACGAGTAAAGTCCAAAAAGAGCAATCTGTGTTTTCTGGGAGTTGAAGTCCACACTTCTCAAAGTTTCTGAGATTGAAAAACACTGGTCTAGGCAATAAAGTGGCATCTAAAATTATATAAAATGTGATAATGATAATAATATGAAACTAATTTAACCATCATTTACAAACTACAATGGTTTACGTGCAAAGTTATTAAATTTGAGCTTGTTTGATTTGATGTTACTTAGCCATTAGAACATGGCTGGTTGGGGAATTATGGGAGTTGAAGTCCACGTATCTTAAAGTTGCTAAGGTTGGGAAACACGGCATTAGATGGATGTAAAAACTGATATGCTTCAATGCATGTATGTGGCTACCATATTGACTTTTTTGATTTGCTCCCTGCAGATGGTAGACAGGCTTTTCTGTGTGTTTGGAATTCACAATGCTTCCCTGGACATTATATTACTAAATGACCAGTTTTCATTTTATGGCCTAAGCAAGGATTGGAAGGATAACTTTGGTTTGCTGTTCATAGATTGCTCCAAAATCAGTTAAGTTAAATCAGTTAAACAGTTAAACTCAGGAGTTCCCAAACATTTCAGCTCACTGACTCCTTTATGAAGTTTCAGATTGTTCATCAAACCCCATAATTTATTATATGGAAATAATTTAAGAAATACCACTTTAACTATTAGTAGTATGAACCACAACAACCACGATAATAACAATAACACTTCCATCTTTGGAGAGGATATTGATCACTTTGGAGAATTCAGCTTTAAACAGTGCTTGATCTATAAAAAAAATCCTATTATATGTTGTGCTATTCTATTACTTCCTACAAAAATATGAATAATAATGAATAATTTCATGTACCATTTAAATTTAATAGATTTTCCCAGGATAGTTACTTTTATTGTGTTTAAAACCTACTATCTTCCTTATTGCCAAGGTTTCTTTCTTCTTTAGATAAGGCCATTTTAAAAGTCATTACTGTATATCTGCAGAGGTAGACCTGACCCACTGCAAAAACTGCTATTTTAATCTGTTTGCCAGCAACTTCCCAATATAGAACATTCAGCATTCTTTTCCCATAGGATAATTTTTAAAATATAGTTTAATCCTTGCAGAAACTGTTATGTTTATTATGCCAATGCCTATTATAAATGCATTTCTTTCCAAAACATTTCAGTCTTCTTATATAGTCCTCCGTGTACACTTAAAAGCTTGATTTATTTTCAACCTCATTTTTTTTATTCTGACATGTTGATGAATTAGAAAACTAGTTTGCATGGATGTTTATCCTCTGACATATTTTAATCATCTAATTTCACATGTTCCAAGTGAAAAGGGGAATCCTAACTTGTAACACTGATAAATTACAATGCAATGATAAATTACATCTTGATGTTAGATAGTTTCACTTCCCATAATTTTAAACAGCAATTACATCATTGAAACAAAGCAGCAGAGTTTTAAAAAAGTGAGACATAATGAGGGTTATGGAGGAAAATGTCCATAACCCCGTGTTCTGTGTTTCAGGATAGCTGTAAATTTGCTATTTTATTAAAATACTATTTCACTTCTCTCCAACAGTTCTCACACCTCAGGTATTAAAAATGTAGTTTCATTAAAAGAGACTCTTAAAATGAAAAACCATATTTCCCTTTAGCATAGCAGAGAAAAGGGTTTTAATAATCAGTGGATATCTTTAAAGTTGTCTTGGGAATCAAAATTAAACTTTAAATAGATCCTGTTGCTCATGGATGCTAACACCATTTGCATCATTGATTCATTGGAATAATTTATGGCCAATTCTTTCTTCCTGTACCTTGGCATCACACAAAGCTATAAAGTGGCTCCTTGGTATTTGGCTGGCCTCTTGGAAACCATGGTTTGAGACAGTGCTTCCCTAAACTGTGTAAATTACCCCAAATCAGGTAAAAGTATTTTTTTCTTAGGGTAATGATATAGGTACCCTTTATGTAATGACAACCTTTAAATTACCTTAAAGCAGGGGTGTCAAACTGCTGGCCCAAAGGCCGGATGCGTCATGGCGAAACCACGCCCACCCCATTGCTGGCAATGGAAAAAAAGTCACGCTATGATGCAATACGTCATGTGACGTTGCAAGTTTGATACCCCTGGCTTAGAGTGTTCTACTGCATTGGGGAAAAAGGACTTTCTGATAAGTGATTTGGGAAAAGGATGTCAATGTTTGGGAGACCCTGGTTTAAGACTTAGCATTCCATGTGGATCAACATTTTCATAAATGATTTAGATGAGAGAATATAAGGGGATTTCATCAAATTTGCAGCCGACACTAAACTGGCAGAAATAGCTAACACTCCAGAGATAGGCTGAAGATCCAGATGGATTTCGACAGACTTGAATACTGGGCCCTATCTAACAAAATGGAATTCAGTGTAGAGAAAAGCAAGGTTTTATACTTAGGAAAGAAAAATCAAATGTACAGGCACAGATTAGGTGAAACCTGGCTCAACAGCAGTAATTGTGTGAGGGATCTTGGAGTCCTAATGGACAATAAAATAGGAGCCAGCAGAGCCAGTTTGTGGCAGAGCCAAAAATGCTAACAGAATCCTAGGTTGCATTAACAGAGGAATAAAATCAAGATCATGTGCAATATTAGTATCACTTTATAAAGCTGTAGTAAGACCACACTTAGAATACTGCATCTAATTTTGGTCACCATGTTATAAAAAAGATAGAGACTCTGAAAAGAGTGCAGAGGAGAGCAGCAGAGATGGATTGCACTCAGGGAAAACATATAAAGAACAGTTGCAGGAATTGGGTATGTCTAGTCTAGTGAAAAGAAGGACTAGGGATGACATGATAGCAGTTTTCCAATACTTGAGGGGCTTCCACAAAGAAGAGGGGCTCAACCTATTTTCCAAAGCGTCAGAAAGCAGGACAAGAAACAAAATTTCTAACAATGAGAATAATTAACCAGTGGAATGGCTTGCCTTCAGAAGTTGTGGGTGCTCCATCACTGGAGGGTTTTCCAACTCTGTTATTATTCTGTTAAGATTTATTTTGAAATCTCCAGGAACACAGTTAAACAAAGCATGGCTTAGCACAAGATACATTGATTTCTGAAATAACTCCCTGTTCATTCAGTGGTGGCGAACCTATGGCAGGGGTGCCAGAGGCGGCACTCGGAGCCCTCTCTGTGGGCACACGTGCCGTTGCTCCAGCCTTGCCTCCCCCTGTGACCCCCTCATCACCAGCAGCTCTCCTGAAGAAGAGTCACCCCCGAGCGTGGCCCACACAGAGCAGTGCAGTCAAGGAAACGGCAGCCAGGCAGTGTAGTCAAGACTCTGCCCTCACGCCCCATTGTGCACAGTTGGTGCTGCAGGGCGCGGGCAGAGGGCATGGCTGCCATGGCGCTGCTGGGTGATCTGCGGCGGGCCCTGGAGGCGATGAGTGGCCCTGCGGGCAGGCGGGGTGGGGTCGGGGCAGAGGGTGGAGCGGGGCGGGGCCAGTTTTTGGACACTCGGTCTCTAAAAGGTTTGCATCTCTGTTCTAGGCGGATATGTCACTGTTATATGCTGACATTGCATGCCATGGTCCTTAAGTTGGAGCTTACTCACTGCTGATATCTTGGTGCCTCTTTATTTGATGCATACCCAGAGCGACATGTTTAACTGCAAAGATGAAGATGTGGGTCTTCCCTTTATGCTTCAGGTGACCACGTTAATGAATTGCCCCCAGAATCCTTCTGTCAAGAAAAAAGGATGTTCCAAAAGAGCTCGTGTAATTCTTGCTTCCGTGGAAGAAGCTACTTGGAACTTGCTGGATAAAGGGGAGAAAATTGCCAAAGAGGCTCCTGTCCTTATGGAAGAACTGAATGCTGCTCTCCACGAGGTTCGCAAAGAAAGTAAGCCTGATATTACTCAGACAATAATGCCACTGCTTCAACAACTGCATCTTTTCTTTACCCCTTCCAATAATGTGTTTTATGACCTCTGTTTTGCTCCCCAGGATGATTTTTTTTTTAATTTTCAGGTCCCAAAATAAGAGAGACATCTGCCTGCCTGTCTGTTTGGTATTACACTTTTCTCCGCTTAGCCAGACTTGCTAGCAGATCAGATTTGCCCTATTAAAGGGAAGATCACCAGCTATCTAGGAGACACATCTGGATCCCTGTTTCTAGATCCCAAGTGCAAAGATCAGATCATTTGCGGGGAATTTTTGGACCAATGTTATGAAATAAAGGGACGTGCTGTATATCAATCTAACAGCATGTATCAATTGAGGCTTCCCCTCCCTTTTTTTTTAAAAAAAAAATCAAAATTACTTCCTAATTTAATTTTATAAGAAAGTACTTAATTTTACAGTACAGGTAGTCCTTGACTTATGACTGGACTCTTAGACACCATTCAAAGTGGACCTACCTTGGGGCTAATTATGACCTGGATTCAACATTCCCATGGCTGCCCCCTCCCCTGCGGTCACGTAACCAAACTTCAGCCACTCAATGGCATTTGTTTAAGAGCCGCAGTGTTCACTTATGAATTGCCGCAAAAAAGTTTGTAAAATCGATTTGGTCACATGGTTGACCCCTTTTACGACTGTCATGATTTACAACTGTGATAGGGAGGCTCAATTATGATTATAAATCAAATATTATCTGTATGCACCAGTGTGCTTAATTTACAGGCTGTATTCATCCCAGTATTTGCCAATGTCAGGACATCCGTGTGTGTGTGTGTGTGTGTGTGTGTGTGTGTGTGTGTGTGTGTGTGAAAAGTCTTGATGGAGGCAGCAGTTGTGCAATCAAAGACCACCCTCCTTCTATATATATCGTGTACAATCTTTTTCATGTTCTTTTTACTGCCCTTGCTATTTGCTAAACTTATTTTATAGCAGAAATTCCTGGTTATACTCCAGTCTAGAGAAGTAAGTTCTTCATAATATTTTCTCCGAGGTTCCTTCTAGCCCTCTGATTCTATGTACATCTCTAAACATATTTTTATCCTTATGAACCTCTTTCAGATTTGTCCCTTTTTCGGGTTTGCCCTTTATGTTTTCCCAAGAAAATATGGACACTATAATTATGAGGCCTGTTTACAGAATCTGTGGAGTCATATTGTTACAGTACTTAAAGCTGCTAAATTTGAAAGTGAAATATTTATCTTCTGCTAGTGAAATGCTTCTTTATGGCAACAGCCATTGGGGAAAAAAAAAACATCCTTCACAGATTGAAGGACTCCACACATCTTGTGCCTGGTGTGAATCCAAGGATAAATGACTCTGATGTAAAGATGACAATATTGTTCTGGTGTAAGTTCTCCATTTGAATTCTCAAACTACTGTTCAATTGTTGTTGAAGTGGATGTTTAATTACTGTACAGCCAGAAGAGGATTGGAACAGACTCCCAGGATAATCACAAGTGCATTTCTTAGCTAGGACTGTTCAAGCATAGCTGGGATACTTGGCATTTATTTCCATAAATAAATGCCTATATATGGGCTTGAAGATGGCAGCTGTGGCTTGGGTTCCACCTCTTGTCTTGCCAAGTTGCTGTGTAGTTCATTGCTATCATATCTCAAGAGAACTCTTAGATAAACTTTAACTCACAAATGCCTTCATGACTTAGGAACAATTTCAGGATACTTTGGCTGCTGTTTTGTTCTTGAGCCACAGAGAAATCAGAGCACAGGGATTGGATGCTTTAATGGAAAATACAGGTAAAACAACAGTCATTGGATAAACTGTGGTGTATGTGAAACATGCAGACATGGGGCGGCTACCAAATAATATCTCTAGCTTGGTAGCAACATCATGTGGGTTTCTCCCTAAGATTGCCATCAGCGGTAGTCCTCAGTTTACAACCTTTCATTTACTGACCATTCAAAGTTACAACAGCACGGAAAAAAAAGTGACTTCTGACCACTTTTCACACTTGTGGCTATTGCTGCATCCCCACGGTCATGTGATCAAAATTTGAATGCTTGAGAACTGGCATGTATTTATGACCTGGGCTTGTGTGATCACTTTCTGCGACTTTCTGACAAGCCCAGTCAATGGGGAAGCCAGATTCACTTAACAACCGTGTTGCTAACTAAAAAACGGCAGTGACTCACTTAACAATGGTGGCAAGAAAGGTCGTAAAATGGGGCAAAGCTAACCATCTTGCTTAGTCATGGTAATTTGGGGCTCAGTTGCGGTTGTAAGTAGAGGACCTCCTGTACTGATCTGAAAGAATGGGGGTGGGATTGCTGTGTTTCAGCACAGCTGATTCCCTCTTCTGTAATCTTACTTTTCTTGCATCCTGATATTAAGGGCACTCTAGGCCCAAATGATACCACTCTAATGGCAGAAAGTGAAGAGGAACTAAAGAGCCTCTTGATGCGGGTGAAGAAGGAGAGTGCAAAAGTTGGCTTGAAACTCAACATTAAGAAAACCAAAATCATGAAATCCGGCCCTCTCGATTCCTGGCAAATAGATGGGGATGAAATGGAGGTAGTGACAGATTTTATTTTCCTGGGCTCCAAGATCACCATAGATGGGGACTGCAGCCAAGAAATTAAAAGACACTTGCTCCTGGGGAGGAAAGCTATGGCAAATCTAGACAGCATACTAAAAAGCAGAGACATCACCCTGCCAACAAAAGTGCATATAGTCCAGTTGCAATGTATGGTTGTGAAAGCTGGACCATAAGAAAGGCTGAGTGCCAAATAGTCCAGTTGCAATGTATGGCTGTGAAAGCTGGACCATAAGAAAGGCTGAGTGCCAAAGAATTGAGGCCTTTGAACTATGGTGCTGGAGAAGACTCCTGCGAGTCCCTTGGACTGAAAGGCGATCAAACCGGTCAGTCCTAGAAGAGATCAATCCCGACTGCTCTTTAGAAGGCCAGATCCTGAAGTTGAAACTCAAGTACTTTGGCCACCTAATGAGAAGGAAGGACTCACTGGAGAAGGGCCTAATGCTAGGAAAGGTTGAGGGCAATAGAAGAAGGGGACGACAGAGAATGAGATGGCTGGATGGAGTCACTGAAGCAGTAGGAGTGAGCTTAAATGGACACCAGAAGATGATAGAGGACAGAAAGACCTATTGTCCATGGGGTCGCAATGGGTCGGACACGACTTTGCAACTAACAACAAGAAGGCCCAAATGCCCTGACAGATGCACTTCAGATATTCAGATATTCTGTATATGGATTCTTCTATGTACTGAAGAAACTGAAGCCTCACTTCTTTACTCTCCTATGTCTGAGGAGCAGTAGATCTTAACAGCATGATTGACCCCCATTCATGCAGGGCGCTCAAGCCGCTAATATTATACATAGTTTTCCTGCTCCACAGTGCTCATTTCAGCCACACATAATGGAAACCACAACAAGAATAAAAGGATGATTCTGTTTACAGAACATGGGAAGTCTGCTAGTCTCCGTCTACCAAATAACCAGTGGTGGGATTCAGCCAGTTCACACTAGTTTGGCAGAACCGGTAGCTAATTTTTTGTTGCCCAGGCCCAGAATGGACTTCCGGAAGCGGCATCCACACAGAGAACCGGTTGTTCACAAATTTGAATCCCACCACTGCAAATAACATATTTAGAATGTTAAGCTGGAATTGTAGTTGATCACAAGCAGAATAAAATAAAATTGTGAGATATGGCTGATGAGAAGGCAAATGGTGGCTAGTGGGTACTATATTTAGTGGAAAGGGTGTGTGTACCAAGAAATATGTTTTTTCTCCACAAAAGGAAAATCCTGAAAGCTCATACTTGCCTGAAAAAAAAAGGTTTTATTTAGGAAATAATCTAGTGTTAGCAAAGCTTGAGTTACTTAGATCACTCCCAGCTTCTTACTATAGCTTGAAGATGTCCTACTTCCCATTTGGGCATCTCAAATGCAGATCACTTTTGTAGCAGACTGATTCTGGCCCAAGGTATTTTGGCATGAAAATAGTTTTTGTGGAAAAATGGAAAATATCCCATTCAGACAATCCATGGCACAGGGAGGAAAAGGTTTGAAGCCCCTTTTTTTTCATTTTCAATTTTAAATAGATTGGTCAGCCCATGGGTCGAGAGGGAATGGGGGCTGGGAAACTGACTGGCACATCTCAAGCTCAATAGATGCATCTGAGCTGCTCAGAGTGTCTGCAGGGTATGGTATATGATCCACAAGGCCAGATGCCAGCCACACACATAAAAAATAGGGGGAGCCACCCCCTTGATGTTTTTGACCAATCTTGGTAGATATTTCTGTGTGCTTCTTTATATTCTCTCTATTCTTGAGGAAGGCTTGAGCTGGAAGTTAAATGTTTAAGATGCTGCTCTGCTAACAGTACTCCGTGTGTCCTGTAAATTTCAAAACTGCTTACAAGACTTGGCCATTATAGATGGATACGAGCAAATCACTTTCTTGAAGCACAAGCTATAATTCTGCCTTGAATTTTTTTTTTCTTCAAGGCATCCCAGTTGTGGTTTTTAAGACTTGGTTAACAACCCATCCTCCACCCAATAATTGGGTCTGTAGCTGATATTAGGCTAGCGAGCCTGTGTTTACAGCCCTGATGCATGGCTTATTGGCATTCTGTAGAAATGATTTGTGTGTTTTTACAAGGATGCCTGTAGTTGAATGAGCTAAAGGGGGAATGCATTGTAAATTATGAATAGAAGGAACAGGCTAGGGCAAGCAAGACAGTGGCCTGGTAATTCAAATAGCTCTCCAGATCATTCCCAAGGATATATTCAAAACAGTGATAGTGCAGCAAGGTTAATTTTAGATACATGACTCCTTCCCCAGGTTATTTCAAGTGTAAAACACAGCACTAAATTTTTAATCTCTCCAGGTTACCACTGATCTATGTTTTCATTCTGTTATCTTAAAGCAGAAAAAAAGAAAAGAAAGAGAAACTAAATTTAGT